TCAGAAATATATTTTTTGTTAATATTATATATAATTATGTTTTATAATTGATGGCATCTTAGATTAGATAAATAGAATAAAATATTCTATAGCATTCTTGGTTGAGGAGAAGCAACTAGAATGCCTTTTTCTAATTTTTCTCCATTATACATGAAATCTTTTGCACTATTGGGAGGAAGATAATTGTCTGAAAAGAAGAAACACCTCCCAAAATAAAATTAAGAGGAAGACCAGCACTACTCAAGAACATGGGGTGCTGGCCTTGTTACTGCCCCTACACTGGCCAAGGAATACCAACACTGTGCTTACCTGGCTGTTCTTCTCTGGGTATCACCTTGGACCTTTTCCTCCCTTCTCTCAATTATAAAACGTTACCTCTCTAGTCTCCCAGTCCCTCAGAATCAGTCAATCTGAGAGATAATTCTATGAGGATCTTCCATAGAAGTGAATCAAAATGACTTCATGCTTTATTCTTTTCTCTTCCTTCTCCTGTATCTTGTGCATTTTAACAGTGAATAATTGGAGTCATAATGCCTCAGTCCAAAAGAGAAACTTTCATGGTAGAAATTATGGTATCTGTGACAAGGTGATTGAAGTCATGTTTTAAGTGTATAGTTCCCTAAAACTCACACCACTTAGTAGGGCAGCTACAGTTTTTATACTACTTTGCAGTTTACAAAACAGACATTGAAAACGTTTTCTTATGAGAGCCTCAGTAAAACTCTCTGAAGAAGGTGAGGCAGACTTTATCATCATTTTTTAGATGAAGAAGCAGATATCCAGAGAAATGAAGTTGATTCGTGGAGGAAGTAGGACCACATTCTAGGTTTTATGATTCTGGAGGCATTGTTCCTCTTTTTTGGAAAGAGACCCCTGTTTACAACTTCTTCCCTTGCCTATAAGTAGATGAGCTTCAAAGAAGCTGAAATTATTCAAGGCCTGGTAGACTATGTCAGAGGCGTTGGTCTTTCCTCTGGGAGTCCTGAGAAGTCACTGAAAGATTTTTTTAAGCAGGAGAATAAGATAAACAGATTATTGTTTGTTTACTTTTAAAGAGCTATCTGGGTGCAGAGGGGAGAATGAATTGTAGGAAGGTAGGAATGGAAACATTTAGGAAGCTATTGCTGTAGTTTAGGGAAGAAATGGTGGTGCTTGGTCCAGGAAGATGACAGTGGATGGGAGAGAGGTGGAGGAAATTCTGGGATGATGGCAGCTGAAGCATGTATCCTACAGCCTTTTTACCCTAGCTCAAATCCAACTACCAGCTGAAGGTCTGTGCTCTATAGGATTCTGGGAGTAGTGCTCAGCCTTCTGGCCAAGATAGGAACCTTGAGATAGGGGAAAACCCTGGAGCAAAACTTAGTTATTACAGGGAGCTTGAGCCATGGAGATCCATGGCCAACATGGTCCTAGAAATACCTGTTGGCCACCCTGTTCCTGAGGACCTGAGGTAAGACTGCAACATGGATGGGGTTCTCCTACCTCTGAGAGCTGTGGTCTTTATTCCTGAGGAGATAGAGAGCAGAGAGACTTCCTCCAGAGGTTTCATCTGGGGAGAGGCATTCTGCCACTGGGTTGGTCCCTAGGGTCAGAGGCTGTTGTGCTTTTCAATGTTCCCAAGTTCGTTGCCACTCTTGATAGCTTAACCTGGGTCCCAAGAAAGAGTAGAATCAAGAGTTCACAAAGGAAAATTCAGTGCACCGAGGGGTTCTCAATAGCCACAGAGAGCAATGACAACACTCAGACAGGTAACTCCTTTGAATACAACTGCTAGAGGAGACAGGCATTGGTCTTATTTTTTAAAAAATAAGTACTTAAGGAGAGTCATATAGCATTTTAAAAAGACCTCTTAGAAGCAGAAAACAAAACAAACACAAAACAGAAACGGCTATGATTTTTACATTTAAAAATTAGGGAGAGGATGCTCCTACTGAAAACCATTTTAAAGACATGGAAATTCAGGTGAAAGAAAAATCTTAGAGCAAGGATCAGAAATACAAAGAGACAGAAATCATGAGAAAAAAAAATGAGGTCTGAAGAACAGATCCTGGAGGCCTAAGATGTGAATAATAGAAGTCCAGAGAAGGTAGACTCTGGGAGAGTTTGATGATAGATGTAGGTGGGAGTTGATGGAGAGGAAATGCCAAGGAAGTCTCCAATGCTTCTGGTTTGGGCAGGTGGGTAGACGGTAGTGCCACTGCCCAAAATAAACCATCCTGGAAGATCAGTGGGTTGTGGGTCAAAGCGGGCAGGTGGGGAGTGATGAGTTCAGCTGTGCTGAGCTTGAAGAGCTTACGGATATAGAAGTGGAGACATTGACTAGCTGTTTCAATGTAGTTATAGAGTTCAGAGCAGAGATGCCTGGCTGGAGATACAGAATGGAAAACCACCAACCTTCAGTGCCCTGAAATAAAGGGCATAGATGAGAGTCCCTAGAGTGAGAGGCAAAATACAAAACAAAATAAACAAAACCCCAAACTTTGATAGGGGCAGCAAATCACCACGGCATGTTTACCTATGCAACAAACCTTCCGGCACATGTACCCCAGGACTTAAAATAAAAATAAAAATAAACCAATAAACAAAAAAACTCCCAAAACTGTATGGATGAAGGTCGCAGTGTGACCAATCTCTTCCTTCCTTTCCCTTTTTCTCCCCTACTCTTAATTCTACATTTCGCCTGCTTTACATGTCCTTTCTTATTACCTGATATGAGACTTGATGGGGAAAGGGAGCGCAAGAAGAAAAGAAAAGAGGAGAAAAAAAAGAAGAACATAAGGAAGAATAGTGAGGGCATACCCTAAAATGGGGATGCTGTGGTAAATCTGCCCTCTGATCACCAAGGCAGAGGTGTGATCCATGAGAACGCATTCTCTCAGGAGTGCTCTCACAGTGAGGCACCATAGTTAACTTTCCTGAGACAGAAAAGGAAAAGTAGAACTAGCATCTACTGAGCAACTGCTATGCTGGACATGCTCTTTAGTACTCATTCTCTTATTTAATTTTCTTCAATAATCTCATTATATAAGGAAAGCAAAACTCAGAAAGGTTGAGAAAGTTCCCCCAATATCACACAGTTGGAAAGCAACAGGGTTAAATGAACCTGTGCAAATCTGAAGCCCTTGCTTTTCCTGCTGTACCACAGAGCATCTGTACTAGAGGCAGCAGGCAGCAGATTTAGATAGTGATCCACATGACTTTATTTGTATTTTCACTGGGCTTTTGTTATCTCAGGACATTCAAAGATTTACACTCTCTCTTCTATCAGAGTTAAGTACACACTGCCAGCTTGACCTTTCAATCTGGGCTGCTCTTTGCTTCTCCCAAGTTACCAGCCAGTTCAGATAAAGGGAGAAAAATGAGCTATTATTCTTTCTGGAAGTTGAATGGCTGCTTCCCTCTAAATATCTAGCAAGCCAATCTTCTGTGAATTAAACTCTTTCATCAGCTATTAGCTGGATCCTAAATCATTGATAAGAGGGATAACCCCTCAATTCATTGATTGACATCTTGAGAGTTTATCAACTCTAAATAATAACAGCAGCAACATCTGAGACAATAGTCAGCATTTATTCAATCTAAGAGAAGAAGCAGTTCTTGTTTTCAACTTAGAAAAATACCTTATATTCTCAGAATTAAGATAAGTGGCATTTCTTCTAACTTTATTATATATGTATGTGTGTGTATACACACACACACACACAAAAGCAACACCAACAGGGTCTCTTGCATATAAAGCACACTGTATTACGTGCTGAAGACTCAATAAAGTAGAAGGTTAAGTTCTAGATTTTTCAGGATCCTCTACACTTTAAATGTTCACTTATGTGGTCCTCCTCAATGCAATTGTTGAAATTTTATCATTTAAAAAAAAATTTGGAGACTCTGTTCATTATAGGGATATCCTTATAGGTCTCCTTAAGGACTTGGCAATTATCTTAGGGTGACTGAGCATGCATAAAATGCTCTAGGCAATTCGTTTTTTTTTTCTTTTTCTTTTGAGAAAGTCTTGCCCTATTGCTCAGGCTGGAGTGCAGTGACATGATGTCAGCTCACTGCAACCTCTGCCTCCTGAGTTCAAGCAATTCTCCAGCCTAAGCCTCTTGAGTAGCCGAGACCACAGACGTGCACCACCATACTTGGCTGAGTTTTGTATTTTTATTAGAGATGGGGTTTCACAATGTTGGTCAGGCTGGTCTCAAACTCCTGCTCTCAAGTGATCCACCCGCCTCAGCCTCCCAAAGTGGAGATTGCTGGGATTACAGGGATGAGCCACTGTACCTGACCTGCACTAGGCAAATCTATGAAATTCAGCAAACATTTAGGGAATGATGGTTAGCCATGTGTGTGTTATGCCCCAAAATTAAAGAGGAAAATACTACGTTGCTGCTCTTTGCTTACTGCTCTAGAGAGGGCAAACAGATAAAGAAATAAAAGTTGAGCTTGTGAGTAAAGATGGAAGACTGAGCATACAGATTATATGTAGATGTATCTCCTCTTTCTGAAAGATCCTTTAAAATAATAGTAAAATAATAATAAAAAGTTATCTCTCTCTAATGAAGAGAATGAGAAATTTCAGCAAATTTCTTGAAGATAGAAAATAGGTGAAATGGTGATACCTGGTGAAGCAGAGGAAAGGAGGGGCTACTACTAAGGAGAAAACTTGCATTATGTCAAGTTAAATTCAAAGCTAAAAGAAGGCATAGGAACTGAAGACATCAGGCATAATGGAGGGTGAAGTGGTATGTGGGGTTATAAACAGGCAATCACTGGAACTATATATGGGACAGTCAACATCTCCCTCACTCCCCACACTAAACAGTAACATTGAGGCATTTCACCCCCTCAACTTATGCAAACAAACAAGCAAAACCACACAAAATACAGGGAATATCTTTAAGGAAATTAAATGAACTGTATGGCAGACCAATGAAGGAGCTCAACATCTGACTAATAGGAATCCTACAAAAAGAAAGTAGAGCCATTTTGGCTTTCTGAGTAGCACCATGGTGGTTGGCAAGAACAAGTGTCTTACTAAAGGTGGCAAAAAAGGAGCCAAGAAGAAGGTGGTTGATCCATTTTCCAAGAAAGATTGCTATGATGTGAAAGCACCTGCTATGTTTAATATAAGAAATATTGGAAGGACACTAATCACCAGGACCCAAGGAACCAAAATTATATCTGATAGCCTCAAGGGTCGTATGTTTGAAGTGAGTCAAGCTGATTTGCAGAATGATGAAGTTGTATTTAGAAAATTCAAGATGATTACTGAAGATGTTCAGGGCAAAAACTGCCTGACTAACTTCTATGGCATGGATCTTACCCATGACAAAATGTGTTCCATGGTCAAAAAGTGGCAGACAATGATTGAAACTCATGTCGATATCAAGACTAATGATGGCTACTTGTTTAATCTGTTCTGTGTTGGTTTTACTAAAAAATACAACAATCAGATATGGAAGACCTCTTATATTCAGCACCAACAGGTCCGACAAATCCCGAAGAAGATTTGGAAATCATGACCTGAGAGGTGCAGACAAATAACTTGAAAGAAGTGATCAATAAATTTTTTCAATAATTGAAGCATTCTAACTGGTGTGAGATGGCATCTCATTGTGGTTTTGATTTG